AAATGAAAAATATTACGGTACCCAAATGGTTCGTAACAAACCACCCATAGACTTACATGTTTCCGTCCCTGGGAACTCTCAAGCATTGGAAAATCGGATATCCATATGAATTTTGTTTATTATACATTTAATTAAAAAGTAGTTAAAAAAGTTTTTTTAAAGTAATTATACTAGTTAATTAAAAATAAAATTTTATCTTTCAAATTAAATTTTAAATTAATATCGGTAAGGTAGAATTCGATTGATGTAATATTCAAATTTCCTTTTCAATTTTTAATTTGAATAGCTAATATTTTGTCATTCAAGTTTTAATAGTCATTTTTACAATGTATTAATACAATAAATAAATACATTGCAATTGAATTGTTAACTTGTGTTAACAAATTAACATAAATTAATAATAATAATTGTTACAATGTATTAATACAATAATACATTGTATTATATTATATGTTATATACTGTAATAATATTTCAATTTCAATTTCATTTATTAACGGGACATGCCCTTTCGTACAAAAGTACTCCTAAATTCTAATAGTTACATAAGTAACAATACAAAATAGAAAATATTAACTAAATCTAGGTAGGCGCTATAATGGTTAAAGTTCAGTATAAGTTTATACAGTAAAGAATAACATAAATCAAATTACATTATTATCAAAGGAGAAGATTAATTTTTGATAAATTCAATCTGCTTTACCATTATATCAATTAATTTCAAAAATAATTGTTATTGTTCAATAATACGGATTTTCTTTAAATCACAATGTCTACATTTAGTTCTGTATGTATTTTCTTAAATCACTTTCATTGATAGAAATAAAATAAGTTTCTCTAGAAACGGACACAACCTTGGGCACCAAGTGGGGAAATCACTACAGATTCTCCTTACACGCATCTATTTGGACTGTAAGAGTGGATGTGCGATTTCTAGGGGGGATTTTAATTATGGTAGGGATCCCACGCCGGTAGACCATTGACACATTCATTTCTCCGTCTAATCGACGGTAATATATTGATTACAATCAGTAATCTCCGTGTGGTGTAAAAGTTTCGTGATCAGAATCACTGTAATAATTTAATTAACTCATTTTCGTATGTTTAGGTCAATCTATTGTACAACCAATTATACTTGTATTGCCAGACAACAGGACAATATTACCCCTCAAATTCGACAACTTAATGAGAATTATTTTTACTATGGATCAATTGAAGGAACTCAAGAATCTTCAAAAGAATCTAAGGATTTCATTATTAAACAACAATTAGCTGTCAAATTATATTTAGATTATTAATGTTCAAAATTTATATTATCAATTCAAAGTTTAATTAATCACTGTTACTAATAGGATTCTTCGAATTCCTACCGTCTATAAAATTTTAATTACGACTAAGAGTATAATAAACAAAATTCATATGGATATCCGATTTTCCAATGCTTGGGAGTTCCCAGGGAAGGAAACATGTAAGTCTATGGGTGGTTTCTTACGAACCATTTGGGTACCGTAATATTTTTCATTTTTAAGCCTATATTTTGGAAATTCGGACCCCATTAATTTTTGCGTGAATACTTGAGTACACGTATTTGTACTCATTTCTGTAAATATATATATATATATATCACTTAATTATTAACCCCATTCATGTTATAAAAAGTGCTGTTTTAAGAAAGTGTTGAAACAAGTTTTTCGACTATTGCCAATTTGTGATTTCGAAATAAGGATGAGAAAAGTTATTGCGTCAACATTTCCTTTTTGTTGAATGGCCTTTTATTTTAAAAAGGCATTTCGCAAGTTCTTTCAAAAATACAGGTTCAACATTATTAATTAGTCCAAATTATTATTAATTAATTCCTGATAAAATCATTACCTTTTTATTCCAGAAATAGTATTAAATTTTTATGAGTATTAAATTATAACGGTAAGAATCTAGCATACGGTTCGACAAATGCAGTTGCATTGTGTTCGCGTTGGTTTTACTACATTTATAGAGTATTATCCCTTTCCTATTATTCCCTATTGATTCGAATGATTCATTAAAATAGAATCATTTCAAAAATGATGAATTAAAAGAGAATTAAAAGAATGCTCATAAATTAGCTTGATAATAGAAGCTTCAAGACTCTTATTGCGTCAATGACCAAATATGAGTTTGTTGAAGGAAATAAGAAACGTCAACGTTTCTGTAAAAATATTACTTATAAAAGTCAAGTTGCCAATCCAACCTGGTAACTAAAATGATGAGCTAAGCTCTGTTGCACTGTAACAGAGTTCAATAGCATTAAAGAAATTGTGGGATTCATCAGAAATGATTAAGAAATTATAATTCATTTCTTCATTTTTCGATTCCACCTCTTCCAATTTTACCACACCCCGACCTCAATTGTTTGTATTAAAACTTGTGTGAACCGATGACATTTTGCTTCTTCGCGGTAGTTCTTCGTGCTAATCGGTTCATCGCGAAGTCGACCGTCTGTGAGATTCGGCCGATTCAAAAGGGTTCGCCACGGGCAACTAGATTTGGGCAGACGTTAAATATAAGAGATGATTACCTTAATTATCTCTGATACCGATTTAAGAAATTCCTTTTACTTAATTCAAATTCAAATTGTAATTATTTTACCAGGAATTTCCGTGTCTTTTATGATCGAGGTGTTTTCGTTAACGCGTAACTATATTCGAATATTTCACATAAAGCTGCCAAGGTGTCGTGGGAGTTGACTTCGATATAGTTGTTGACGAATTAAGTAACCAATCGTGATTTAAAGAACACAACCCGAAAGTGAATAATTTCCATGCGTAAAATTATAATAATGCATTATAATCGAAGGGAATTGTATCACGTCGTGTTGTTCGATACACAGACACAACACAGATAACAGAGAGGACAAATATAGTTCTCTAATAAACAATCATCTACTAAAAGCCCGTTCTGATAAGAAGGAAAAAGACCAGATGACTTTTCTCTACTCCTTCAGTGCGGTAGGAATTAAGGCGGTTACGTAAGTAAAATTGTATCGTTTCAATGAATAACTGAACAAAAATTATCATTCATGAAACTTCATAAAATAAAGTCGAGCCTTGACTTGAGTTAACATTTTTAAATGCATTGTAGTTGGTTGTGTGAAAGATTAAAAGTCGAGTAAATAAACATATTGTTATCAAATTAACTATTAACCGGAATAAGAAGACTTATTCATTTTGCTACCCTTTGTTTAAATCCCTTGTTCCTGATGAGATATACCGATTGGAGAGGAATACCGTCCCATAAAATTATAAACTAAATGATATTATTATCATTTGGGTTGTTGCGAGAGAAACTCCGAAGAGCGGATTAATAATGTTTAAATATCCCAATTTAACAAACTCTTTTACATCGTAAAAGTAAAGTCAAAATTATACAATATTTTTCTTTAACTTTAGAATTTATATTTTAGAATATAGAGGGTTGAATGTCATAATTTTAAAATTTTGGTTAGTTCTTATTTATCAGTGGCAAGTGTAGTGTCTGTGTTGTGGATCCAGTAGATAGGATTATATTCTCTAAGAGGTATTTATAAAAATTTAATAAAAATAGAAATTATTAAAAATAAAATAAATAAATAAAAATAAAAATATGAAAGGGGAAAATTAGTAAGAGGAATTTGTTTTATTCGTTTTGAAGATGGAAATCCAGACCACCGATCAAGGGAATATGACCCGAAAATACCGCGATTGCGATAAATTTGATTTAAAAAGGGGATCCACAATCTCTGACACTATCACTGATATAAGAAGAATAAAAAAAAATAACATCAAAAAAGCCAACAAATGCACTCAAACAAAGAAAAATTTCAGTTTAACAAAAATAAACAAAAAAATCTCCAAGGCTAGGAGGAAAACAAATAAAAATGCTAATAAAATTAAAAATATCAAAGTAACAAATGTAGAAAAAATCCAAATTAATCTCGAAAAACTTTTTGGACCCAATTATTCGGATTATAAAATCCAAATATTGTTTAACAAATTAAACAAAAATGTTAAAAAATAATAAATTGATTTATTTAAGAATTAAAAATGAACAATTTTTTTTTCTTCTCTCTTTTTTATCTTTATTTTCTCTTTGCGTCGTGACTGATTTTGAGTGTCAATGAATAGTATATAGCATCTCGTTATCATTTTTTAGGGTTCCGTACCCGAAGGGGGAACCCTATTAATGAGACTAGTGAAGCAAGGCATGTACCCCCCCCTAGCAGCCACACGAATTTATCTAGAGGGCTGAAATTTGGTATACATATGTACTTTGGCGTGTAGATTACAGGAAAAATATAGCGAATCTCATAGGAATTAATTATCATAGCGTTGTCAAGGAAAAACCATGCATTTTTACGAAAAATCCCTAAAAATGACTATGTACCCCCCCTCTGGTTGCCACATCTTTTTACGTAGAGAGCTCAAATTTGGTACACTTATGTATTTTTACGTGAAAATTACAGGAAAAATATAGCGAACATGATTCGGATCAATTTACATAGCGTTCTCAAGGAAAAATCAAAAATTTTGAAAAAAAGCGTTTAATCCACCTAGCGCACACACTATTTGACCAAGACAGTTCATATTTGGTATACTTACGTATTTTTGCGTGTAGATTACAGGAAAAATATAGCGAGCACGATTGGAGTTGATGATCATATTGTTTTTAAGGAAAACTCATATTTTAAGAAAAAATCATGGATTTTTCGAATAAAAAAAGAAGAAAATTTTATCCTAAGAGATCCAAATTTATACATTTTTACGTATTTTTACGTGTAGATTATAGAAAAAATATAGCGAGAACGATTCGTGTTGATTATCATAGCGTTTTCAAGGAAAAACTGATAATTTTCGTTTAAAATCATGAATTTTCCTCAAAAACCGAAGAAAATTTTATCTGAAGAGTTTCAAATATACACTGCGACCCGAGTTTAGCGAAATCTCGGAAACGGCAACAATAGGATGGTAATTAAGCGGTAAGCGTAAGATGCTCCGACTCCAGCAGGAGCGTAGAAGTAAGGCAACGCGGTTCCTTCTAGTTGAAAATGAGTACCAAGCGGAAACGTTTGTCTGGGAGGTACAAGGTTCTTTAATCTTTAATTTTAAATAAAAAATTTGTTAAATTATAAAAGCTTATTTATATACATGTATACAAATTTTATTTTTGTTTTCACTCCCAGCAAATTTATAAATTTACTTTATGAAAATCTTAATTTTAATATTTGCTCTCAATATTATATTTGATGAAATTTATATTATTTAATTTCAAATAAATTTAAAATTTATAAGGCAAATGGTGAGTTTTTCCCCTTTCTTGTCTGATGTGAGTACAATTATTTGAATTTTTATTAAGTAGGAGCCATGGAGAGGTCTCCTACTATTTGACACAAGCGCTGACAGGTCACGGATGTTTCAATTCGTACCTGCAGCGCTTTAAGAAGAAAGAGAGTGAGGTGTGTGCTTACTGCCAGTTCCCTGTGGACAACGCAGAGCACACCCTCTTTGCCTGCAGTCATTGGGACTTGGAGAGGCAGGCCATGTTCACCGGTGTAAACACTACAGTTACACCGGAGAACATGGTAGCGCTGATGATCCAGTCCCAGGAAAACTGGCGGCTCATCGAGACCTTTATCATCTCTGTTATGATGAGAAAGGATCTCGATGGCCGCAGAAAGGCGTAATTAACAGTGTACAGTATTTATTTATTTTATTTATTTATTTGTTCATTTTATTATTTATTTTGTTTTTTATTGTCCTTTTACAATTTTCTATTTATTTATTTATTTTAGTCTTTTTACAGTTTTATGTTATATTTTGTTTGTTCATCTGTCTTTTTACAATTTTATCTTTGACTTGTTTATTTTATTTTTTATTTTATTTCTTGACTCTTTATTGTTTTCTTTTCTGGTGTGCTGTTGATTCCGCTTGACATAGATTTTAGTTTTTCATTTTAAAATTGATAACGCAGGATGTCCGCAGGAATGGACGAAGTCGCTTTTGCGACAGAGTTGGAGCGCCACCCTCGAAGGCAAAAGTCTTCACGACAGTACCGAGGGTAGATAAAAGGGCTCCCAAGAAGGGTTGACGGGTTTTAGTGGGTCGGGGCTGGTAGTAGGTCGCCAGCTTATTTTGTTTATTGTTCTCCTTTTTTTTACCAACCCCACATAACCTTGGCATGCGGAAGCCAAGGTATCTGTATACAGATTTTCCCAATAGTCCCTAAGCAAAAAAAAAAAAAAAAATTAAAGTATAATTATAATAATTATTGCAATAAAAATATTATGTATTATAAGATGAAGAATTTTCAAAAAAAGAGTTTAAGGATTTCGTATTTCAAGTAGTTCGTACGGCCCTGATTGCTGACGCCGATTTCGGGAAATCTCATTACTGAGTTTAGCGAACGACCCACCAAACCTGCCGCTAAACTCAGGTCGCATTGTATACACTTTTACGTAATTTTGCGTGTAGATTACAAAAAAAATATAGCGAGAACGATTGAAGTTGATTATTATAGCGTTTTCAAGGAAAAACTGATAATTTTCGATAAAAATCATGATTTTTCACCAAAAAAATTTTTTAATTGAGTTTTTTCAAAACATACAATTTTTTTAAAAAGTGGACTTTTTCCTTAAGTTTTACAATTTTTGACCTAGAAAGATAAAATTTTCTTCCTTTTTTTGGGGCAAATTCTTAATTTTTTTTCAACTCCAATTGTGCTTGCTATATTTTTTTGTAGTGTTTTGCCATTCTTTATAATTTGCCATTTTTTACCATTTACTATTTTTATTATCTTTTGACATTTTTTATTTTTTGATATTTTTATTATTTTTTAGTTTTATTAATTTATTTTCAAATTTATGCGTAGATTATGTTCTATGTTTATGTCTATGAATATGTCTATGTTTTCTATCTAGGCCTTCAAACTTTAAACCCCTCAAATTTTAGGTTTAAGGGTACGGAACCCTCGGTTTTAATGCGAGTGTAACTCGCACTTGTCCGATTTTTTTTTCCTCTTTTCTCTCTCTTCCTTTCATTTTTCACATTGCTATCTACATTGTATTTTATAATGATAAAAATAATTGAGTAGTTAAATTTGATTTTTTTTTAAAGATGGATAATCACGATTATGATATTGTTCTCTCAATGGAACAATATCCCTCTCAAGTACTTCAGGTTAATAAAAAATACAATGTGAGTGTAATAAATTCCATTGGTCCATCTTTTATAAAAGTAAGAGTGGGAGAATTTAAAGAAAATTTTGAACTACAAATGGTGGAGTACAATGAATTCTATTCATCACATGATGAATCATATAGATTTATATTCGAGGGAGAACTAACGAATTATTCAGGATGGCCTGTAATAGCAAAAACAAACATAAATACATACACTACCGTCCGAAATTGTGCGAACTCTGCTTTTTCAACAACTATAAAACTGTTCAAATCTTCAAAAATATTAAAACTAAAATTTTTTCCTCTTTATTTTATTAAAGTTAATAAAATTCTGAAAGAAATGACACCTTGACAAAGAGAATATGTTAATTTTTCAATTAGATATCTAAAAAAACCCAATTTTCAATGTTTTTACTATTTTTTTTTATTTCTCTGGCAAAAATTAATATTTTTAAACGTTCTTAGGCTCATTGAAATCGTATTTTGTTATGCAATTCAAATTATATAAAACAATTCATGTACACATTCCTCCCTAGCGTATGCAAACCGTGAAAGTTGGCTCATAAAATGTCAAAAAATTGTGATTAATATTTATATGACAAAAAATGATCAGTAAAATGTATAAATCTTAAATTTACTTACATAAATCAGAGAAGTTTAGAATGATATATTTACTTGATTTTTAAACATTATATTTTATTGTAGAATTGAATTTAAATTTTTTGACATATTCCCCAATTATGATGAAGTGATTGAGGAGGATGTTGAGGAGCATAAGAATGTTAGAATAAGAGCCGTTGGAGGCTAAATAAAGCTATTTTTTTTAAAAAAAGAATATAAAGGGTATAGGGGGTTAAGGATACAAAAATTGCCGTTGCAGGTATTCTGTTCAAATTGACACCATATATTGCTACCCCTATGAATATAAAATTCTGCAAGTATGAACCCATAATTCGAATTTTTGGGGGAGTTATGGTGGGGGAAAGGAAAATAAAGAAATCCATTTTTCTCGAAAACTACTGAACCGATTTTAATGAGCTTTGAATATGTTATACATGTCGATAAGACAATTCTAAAAAAAAATCTCAAAATTTTTTTTTGAAAAAAAGTCAAAAAAAATTAATTTTGAAATTTTCAAAAATTTTTTTTGGGGTGATTTTTTGAAGTGACCACTTTAATTTTTTTTTAAAAAGTTACCTTATAATATCCCCTTTAACATATATTTTTTTCAGATTTTTAAAAAATGTAGTTTTTGAATAATTTAACGAAAACCATCGTCGCGCTACATGACGCAGCGCGCACAGTGTGCTGATGCAGTATACAGGGTATTCCAAAAGTATGGAAACTTTCAAATATCTCGAAAAGTACGAATTTTTGTAAAAAATGTTCAAGACTAAAGTTGTTCCAAACAAAAAGATGTACATCTTTGAAACCAAAAAATTGGGCCCGGAGCCCAATGTTGGGCCCTACAATGAAAAAAGTGGTTTTCTTAAATGAGACCATTAATTTTCAGTATCAAATTCGTAATCCCCATGAAATTCTGCGTTCAAACATGTGGTATAAGTGCCCAAAATATTGGGCCCAATCCAAGATATTGGGTCCAAAATTTATCAACAGATAAATAAATTTTAGAAAATCGCATCTTGGAGGGATTTTGAGACCACAGGATTAGAAATTGGAAGCTAATTTTCAAATTGGGCATAGAGCCCAATGTAAGATTCCGCCGCCCAATGTGAGGCCCACGGTAAAAATATTAGTTGTCTTGAATAAAACCCATTAATTTTCAGTATCCAATTCGTAATCCCCATGAATTTCTTGGCTTAGACTTGTAGTAAAAATGACAAAAATATTGGGCCCAATGTCTGGGATTAGGCCCAACATTTTTCGTTAAATAAATAAATTTATAAAATCGCATCTTTTGTAGTTTTTGGGGTCACAGGATTAAAAATTCAAAGCTACTTTTCAAATTGGGCACAGAGCCCAATGTAAGATTTCGCAGCCCATAATGTGAGGCAGTAAAAAAATTAGTTTTCTTCTATTTCGTAATCGTTATGAAATTCTGGGCTTAGACTTGTGGTACAAATTCCAAAAATATTGGGCCCTCACATTGGACTGCAGAATCTTACATCGGGCTCTATACTCAATTTCTAATCATGTGATCTCAAAATCCCTCCAAGATGCGATTTTCTAAAATTTATTTATCTGTTGATAAATTTTGGACCCAATATCTTGGATTGGGCCCAATATTTTGGGCACTTATACCACATGTTTAAACGCAGAATTTCATGGGGATTACGAATTTGATACTGAAAATTAATGGTCTCATTTAAGAAAACCACTTTTTTCATTGTAGGGCCCAACATTGGGCTCCGGGCCCAATTTTTTGGTTTCAAAGATGTACATCTTTTTGTTTGGAACAACTTTAGTCTTGAACATTTTTTACAAAAATTCGTACTTTTCGAGATATTTGAAAGTTTCCATACTTTTGGAATACCCTGTATACTGCATCAGCACACTGTGCGCGCTGCGTCATGTAGCGCGACGATGGTTTTCGTTAAATTATTCAAAAACTACATTTTTTAAAAATCTGAAAAAAATATATGTTAAAGGGGATATTATAAGGTAACTTTTTAAAAAAAAATTAAAGTGGTCACTTCAAAAAATCACCCCAAAAAAAATTTTTGAAAATTTCAAAATTAATTTTTTTTGACTTTTTTTCAAAAAAAAATTTTGAGATTTTTTTTTTAGAATTGTCTTATCGACATGTATAACATATTCAAAGCTCATTAAAATCGGTTCAGTAGTTTTCGAGAAAAATGGATTTCTTTATTTTCCTTTCCCCCACCATAACTCCCCCAAAAATTCGAATTATGGGTTCATACTTGCAGAATTTTATATTCATAGGGGTAGCAATATATGGTGTCAATTTGAACAGAATACCTGCAACGGCAATTTTTGTATCCTTAACCCCCTATACCCTTTTGATTTTTTTTTATTATTTTAAACAAATTAATTTATTGCAGGATTTAATAAATTTATTCGTTTAGGGGGGCATTAAGGGGGTAATCAAAAATTTATTTTTTTCTTCTCTTAAGATTGCCTATTGAGAATATTTTTCTATTTTATAAACAAATCAATTCTTTTATATCAAAAGAATATGATTGGTTTAGGGGGGCATTGAAGAGTTATTCCAATAGTCAAAAGATTATATTTATTTAAATGCAGATAAAGGGAAATGTAGAGTACCATATAATTTCAAAAATATAACGTTTCATTTTGGTATAGATATATATATATATACATGGGTAAAGAAAAATATAAGAAAGAAAAATACTGTTTTCATGAGTACACTTGCACTCAGGAGAATGAGTATATATATATATATATAACTAGGGGGCTATGCCCCCTGCGCGCTTCGCGCGCCAACCCCCACCCCCCTCCTTTTCCCCTCCCCCACCCCAAATTTAAAGGTTAAGATCGTTTCAAGACTCTGAATATAGCCTAAG